TTTTGACGTAGTTAGTGTATCTAACCTCTTAAATAATGTTCTTATATTTAATAAGGCGGAAAAAAAATGCGCTCAGGGAAATATTTTAATTTTTTCATTAATTATGTAGAATGTAGAATCATTCCCCGTTTATAACTTTGGGGTTCTCGAACTGTACATCTAACTTTTTTAAACCACACCGTGCTAGGTAAAGGTACATTTTTGTTTAGATTTATGTTTTTACTCCGGAGTGGGCACACCCGATCAAGTTTAATTATATTTTAGCGACTGCTTTGTTGCGGGTAGTTGTGTGCAAATTGATCGGTGGCGAGGTATTTACAAACTTAACTTTATTACACTACATATATACACAATACACATATATACACAAACAGAATTATAATTTAAATGTGTTGTAACCCGGAGGCGATGTACTCAAAACGGGGAGTCAGTACGTTCTGTCGGGTGATAGACCAAGACCTTTTCCAAGAGGCCTTTGGTCAACCACCCCTAATCGTGGTAGGGGATAGGTAGGAAACATTTGGAAAAATTAAAGCGCATCTATAAAAAGGTAATAAAAATAAAATTAAATAAATTACTTTGGGTAAAGGAACCGAAGTAAGTAAGAAATAGTAAAGGATGTTTACCGATGTTAGGAAACTCCAATGTTTTACAAGGCTCCATGTAACAAACACACGCTCTTTGCAATATACTATTTACAACTTACTACCTGAAAAATTTAAACATAAGTACTGTATAATAATAATTCGAAATACATAGCAATCAATTAATAAAAATTATTATAAAAATCACTTAAATTGTACTATGACAGACAAGAGTGGAAAATCCAGTCCCCACAATATAGTTAAAAAGGTAATTACTTGTCCAAAGGTATTAAATTTGTTTTAATCGGAGTTAGATCTGATAAACGTTCAACAAATACCATGCAATTTTTAAAGATTTTTAGCTATATTTCATGAAATTTAAACTGTAACTTGGCCATTTTTTTCCGACTAAAAAAAGTGGATACCGTTAACGATATTGGGCATGCCTTTACTCTGAAAAAAATATTATGCTTTTCGTGTTTATAAATACTATAGGGCTAAATTACCTTAAAAAAAAGTAAAAGAAACTTTCTACTTTTTTCTGCAAACCAGTGTTTGGCAGACTTGAGAAATTGGTTTTTGTAACACGTTTTCTTAGAATTGTTGGCATTTGATAGAATTTTATAGTGAACAACAACTTTACACAAACAGTTTTGATCTTATGAATAAATAAATGTATGCCTAAAAAATCTATTTTATTTAAATTTTATTACAAATATCCACTTAAAATAATTATTATTATGCCATATTACATATTATATCATATCTCCAAAAATAAAAAGGTTTCAAAATATAATTTTATTAGGTAAATTCAAACATTTTTATAAAAAAGATACATACATAGGGTGGCTCAAAAGTTTTTAATATTGAGTGTAACTTTTGAAATATCGAAAATATTAAAAAATGATTTTAATAAAAGTTGTTTGGTCCGTCATTTCAAATTTTACGGTGTTATTGCCAACTTAAAAAAATAAATACGTAGCCCCCAAGGAGTTCAACTTTTTTTATTACAACCCCCTTTTTTATATCAGAATTTGACAGAAGCTATTTTTCTGATTACAACGGTGTAATAATATTGAACCGATATAGGAATGATATCAGATGGCTGAGCGTTAAACGTTAAAAAAATTTAAATTTGTATAAAAGTTTTTTGTTATAGTTATTTTTAAGGCTTCACGTCGTTTACCTGTAATTCATTTTTACGGAAAAAGTACTCAGAAAAAAGTATGTGCATTATTTAATGCCACGTATCTGGAAAAGGAGCCTCTGACACAATCATGCGTGACAGAAATTGTAAAAAAAATTCTGAAACCGGTGTGAAAAATAGGTCTAGAAGCGGTCGACCAAAACCTGCCACTGCTGGAGATGTTGCCAGGAAGTACCTACAGTTTCTTGTCAGGGGGTTGCCCAAGACAACGATATTTGTTATGCATCAATGCAAAGGTTATTTAAAAGAGAAAAAATGCATCCCTATAAGGTGCATTTGTTGCAATAATTAAGTGAGGACGATTTTGATCTTGGGGCTGAGTTTTGTGAAATTTTGATGGAACGTTGTAACCAGGATCTAAATTTCTCAAAAAAAAATTATTTTCGGATGAGGCCAAATTTATGCTGAACGGTTTTGTTATCCGTCGTAACTGCCGCTACTGGTCCCACCAAAACCCGCATTGGAAAGATGAGACACACACACAGCACCCTCAAAAGAAAACTGTATGGGCATGAATAATTGACGAACACATAATAGGACCATTTTTATTGAGAGAAATCTAGCTGCAGAACAATATTTTAACCTCCTCCAGACAGATATCGTTCCAGCAGTAAGGGCATTGTACCATGGAGAAAATAATGAAGTAGACGATACCATTTGGTTCCAGCAAGACGGTGCTGCACCACATTTTGGTTTGGAAATAAGGAGAAACTTAATAGAGTGACCTGCTAGGTCTCCAGACCTAACACCATTGGATTTTTTAAGGGGTCATTTGAATTCAGTGGTGTACAAAAATAGGCCAAGCAATCTTCAGGTTCTCAGAGAAAGAATAGATGCAAAATGTAAAACAAGATTTTTAAAATCGTTTAGGCCACTGTCTTGCTGTTAACAGATGACATTTTGAACACTTACTTTAAGTACTTTGGGTAATCATATTCTTGTTTATATGCATTATTTTAAACAAAGGTTTATTTGAATTCTAGGCCATTTTGCTCAAATATCCATATGTACAGGGCCGTTCCTAGGGGTCAATCAGTACTTTGTAACGATAAACTTTCTTGAAATAAACAAATTCCTAAACATACATAGGATAAAGGTTACCGCCTTTCTTTGTGTCGGCCGCATTAAAGCATGCCTGTTTTTTTTTCGGCCGCTATAAAGCGCCTTTTAAAGCTCTAATATTGGCGGCTTAATTGTATATGAGTATCAAAATAAAAGGGTAGAAGTTGTCATAATATTTTTAGTAATTGTTTGATAATTAATGGTCCTGGATAATATATACATTATAATTATTATTAAGCCACTACTAGTATTAACGACCTTAATTTAACGTCCAGTGGCTTTAACAAAATACCCATTTACCATTGGAGTCCAATTATTGGACAACATTCACGTGTGTTCACATACAATTTTAATTTCTTTTATATAAATTCTTTTCAAAGCGAAGATTATTATTCGCTAGAAATATCTTGTCTCTCCTGGGCCGTAGTCACCTATAATTAACTACTTTTTATATGACTTTACTCATCTACGCACCACTATAGCCAAATTAATTGCATTTTTAACTACGAATTTTGACAACTCAACTTGAAGTCTAAAAAGGTCGTCAGACATAAACCATAAAAGCAAAAGATCTACTCCATAAGCGCGCAGCGCATGAGCAAAAAAAAGTAATAAGCCAAACATGTGGTTTGTACAAATCTAATTAACATCGCTGGCATCTCAATCATTTCATGAATGGTACCCACGCCCTTTGGGCCAACGTAATTTAAAATGTTTAGCGGAAGACTTGTATCATTATTTGTGATATATTTTTTGTTTAATGTACCTACATATAATGTTATGAATAAATGTTTTTATTATTTATTGTTTTAGTACCTGGCTCTCACCCACGAGGCTAGGGTTCGATTCTCTGTAACGGAATACATTTTTTAATTTTTTCTCTCAAAAAAGTTTTTTTATTGTCAAATTAACTAATTAACGTATTAAGTAAGACTCTTACTTTGAGAGCCAGCTATCCTAACCCATACGGTATATGAGGAGGTGCATTCCAAAACTCGGCTTATCCAAATTAGTTGTTTTAGAGCAAAATGTCAAAAACCTTACACGTGAGTACTAACGCATAACAGGCAAACACAATACTTTAAACGAAATATGAAGGCATAAGTAAAACATTTTTATACCTTGATTAAAAAGGTATAGCTCCAGTTTAAAATAATTTAAAATTACATACGTATATGCCGAGTTCTGCATGATATAACTAATAGAAAAGGCAAGTTTTGGAACGATAGTCAATTTGTAAATGAATTTTAAATGGAATAAGGTTAGTTTTAGAATATTATGAACTTTTCAGGGTATATGTACAGACACCACTAATTTATTTTTATTAAAAATTGGATAAGCCGAGTTTTGGAATGGACCTCCTCATATATATTAAACAAAACGTGATATTAAAAATAAATCAATCCAAAGTATAACGCAATTATATAATATGGCGGTCGCCGAGGTATTGGCTATTTCTTCATAACCTCCTTAACATAGGTATTAAATGCAACATTTTAATAATTTTTAAAATTTTTAAAACTTCCGAAATTTTCAAAATTACCAGAATTTTCAAAATGACCGAAATTTTAAAATAAATAAATATTAAGTTTCCAAAACTTTCAAAATTTACAAAAAATTTAAAATTGAAAACCTGTCAGTAACCCGACAGTAGGTAATTAACCAGTAATGTTTTTTTTATAAATTTGTAACAGAAAATAATAAAATATTTAAATTAATGAAATAATGATAACACAACTCTAATCATTACTCTAAAACTCAGTTCATATAAATCAACTGAACATATCATAGACTTTCAGATAAACCCTCAAAAAGTTAAGGACCGTTTAATGGATGAACCCTGATGCATCATGATGGCAAGCTAAAATTACAATTACGAAACTTAAAAATCTTTTTCTTAAAAGTAATTGTTTCATGTTCAGTATGTATGTCTTTTTAAAAAAAAAATTACTAATATTAACACCATCTAGTTCACGAGAAAACTAAACAATTATATTTGATAATGATAATGATAATTATCATTGTAAAATATATTTTGCATTTAACAAGATATTTCCCTGTTAATTTTAAAAATATTCCTTTTTGATTCACACTTGATATAAGACATATGACATCCTAAAAACTAAACATGTTATATTTCTTTGCAGTTCCTTTAAAACCAAAACAATCCCAAATGTTAACTATGAACGCCACCGTCGTTACAGTATGGTTGGATTCTTGGGGTGATGGTGGTTGTGGTATTATGCATTTTGCAATTGAGTATAAGTCTTCAGGTCAGTCTTCATGGACAATGTCTTCTAGCCATGTAAAGCCAACTGAAAGAGTTTATAGTATTTCTGATCTATGGCCAGCCACTGAGTACCAAATTAAAATTACAGCTCACAATAATGCTGGATTTACAGAAGCACTATATAATTTTACCACATTATCAATTTTAGGAAGTAAGTAATAAACAGCAAATAAATATTATACATGGTATTCCAGAAGTTACACCACCTTAAATGTGTATGATGTACAGACCTCGAATAATCACAGATAATTGTTCTACCTTCGTTATTTAAAAAGATACAGGGAATAAACATTTTTTCAGGGAAAATTACAACTGTTTAGTGACAAAACTGTAGGACTGTATTTTGTGAAAACTTGTGAAACATAGTTACAAGAACGAATTTAAAAAAAACATAGGCGATCCGAGAAAAGGGATCTAGTGTCCAAAAATGAGTTTTAATATTATCAATATTTTAAGTATGGATAGTGGTAAACAATCTTTCGAAAGATCGAAATAAAATTTGTTTATCTAAAAAATACATTCATATTATTTTTTACTAATTTTTATTACACACGCTTATGCCGCGTGAACTTCAATCGCTTCTTCTGTAAAACTTGTATTTGAATACTGGGTCCCTTTTCTCGGATCGAGTCACATACATAATAAATTATGAAGACAATATTAAAAAAGTTTATAATACCGGACGTAGAGTTAAAATGCGCATGCCTGGGATCTCCGAACTAGTTCGGGATTAGCACTGCGAAAACACCTAATTTTTTAGAATTTAACGATATAAATAAAGCGAAAATAAACGGCAACGTCCCAATCTCCATGACGTGATAAGTTTTGGCGTTGGCAGTTATGAAACTATTTTATATCTCTTTCATTCTTCATTCTTTCATTCTTGCGTTTTCTGTACCATTTCCCACCATTTGAAAGTGAGGCTTTGTTATTTGTTTTAAGAATTGTTGTGTGAAACAATTAACAATGTCTTAAATAAAAAGTCGATACAGATGGAAAGGAAAATTATAAAGTAAAAGTGTGTTTAAGAAAAGGTTCATTTAAAGTCGTATTCTTAAATGTTTTTTTTTTTGAAATTCTGGGCGCTGGGCGAGTTTAATTGCGGCTTCATTATCTACCATTAAAGAAGCAAATCCTTCAATTTTACAATGCTGGCATTTACTGGCTGCTACCATTTCTGCTTCGGTAGTAGAAATTGCAACGGAACTTCGTCTCTTACTGCTCCATAATACTGCTCCTCCACTAACAAAGAACTCCAGAAGTTGAAAGACACGTATTTATATCACCACCATGGTCTGCATCACTATATCCTTTCAAGTAACATTTCTTGTGATTGTATTTGTATATAATACCAAATTCCAAGGTACCTTTGATATATCTGAATATACTATTTACATATAATCCAGTGTGCTTGGATTTTCGAGACTTCTTGAACAAACACCAACTACATAGGCTAAATAAGGACGGCTTCCTGTCATGATGTACATAAAGGCTTCTACTGCTCTGCCGTGCTTAATGAAAACGCCGTAACCAACAATTTTGCGATTTTTGTTTTACGGCATTTTCTACTAGAACAATTCATCCTGCGTCTATCCCCGGTACTCAAAAAACCGTATCTATATATATACGGTTTTTTGAGTACCGGGGATAGACACAGGATGAATTGTTCTAGTAGAAAATGCCGTAAAACAAAAATCGCAAAATTGTTGGTTACGGCGTTTTCATTAAGCACGGCAGTGCTTCTCTATAAGAAAACTTTGAATCATCTTCCTCATCCTTCCCTGATTCAATAGATTTTTTTTACCATTGGTGTTGACACAGGTTTGCAATCTTGTATCTTAAACCTCTCCAGTAACTTATTAGAATAGAGTTTCTGGCTAACTTTAATGAAATTATCTGGATTTTTCTGTATTTCCAGTCCCAAAAAGTATGACGCAGGTTAAATGGTTATCTTTTTCTTGGAACTCATTCCTTAGTAGGAGCCAAAAGTCCGCCATCAACATAAAAGGATAAAATAAGCATACCATTTTTATTTTCTTGCTTCTTAACAAACAAAAAAATCTGTATCTGTCTTTATTTATCCCAGTCTAATAATGACAACAACAATTTGCTTATTCCTACAACGAGGCGCTTGTTTGAGTCCATAAGGCTTTTCTTTAAGTGACAAACTCTTTATGTACCATCTGCATAGCCTTCTGGTTGATTCATGAAGATTTATTCTTCTAACAAATCATATAAAAATGCTCTGTCAAATTGAGTTAATTCCATTTTTCCGCTAGCCGCTATACTAATAACAGCTTGTATTGAAGAACGCCTTGCAACCGAACTGAAAGTTTGGTCATAATCTTCATCTGGTTTTTGTGAAAATCCCTTTGCAACCAATATTGTTTTATACTTGTCTACTGATCAATCTGGGTTTATTTTTATTTTATAAATCCACTTAGACGGTATAGCTTTTCTTTCTGCAGGTAAGTTATCCAGGATCCATGTTCCATTTGACCTATGAGCTTTCATCTCTTTGCCCATATTTACCCATTTTATACCACATCGAATAGCTTCTTTATAAGTATTTGGTTCATTTTTTTCAAGTATATTTGCAGCGACTGTGGCATGGTCTTCAAATTGAACTGGTTTTCTTAGTCCTCTATTGCGTAATTTTCTTTCATAAACTTTATCTTCACAACTATCTTTATTTATTTCTAAATGTTCTCTCTTTTATCTTTATTTTCTAAAAGTAAATTCTCATCTTCTTTGACTTCTTTACAACTTTCTCTTTCAAGACTAAGAAAAAGTATTGGTTTAAGACTTTCATCAAAAATAACATCTCTAGATCTTAATAACTTATTAGTATATTTGTATATTCTATAACCGTCATTATTGTCATATCCCACCAGTATTCCTTTTTCAGCTTTTTTATCCAGATTTTTTCTTCTTGGCTTAGGACTATGCGAATACTACGTACTTTCACCAGAAACGCCTGATCTATTTAGTATATAGACTGCAGTATTTATTATTTTTGCCCATAAGCTTTGAGGTAAACCTTCTCTTGCATGCATCAGTGCTCTGCTTGGTTTTGTTGTCCCGGTCTGAACACCCGTTTTGTTGAGGAGTATAGGGCATCACTAATCTTTAATGAATTCCATGCTTACTTAAAAGCTCTGTGATTTGCCCATTATCAAAGTCACATCCATTATCTGACAGGAATTCTTTAAAAACATAGCCAGCAAGCAACTTTTACCTCTGCTAGAAATGTTCTTAGGTGAATTACAACTTCTGATTTTTCCCGCACAAAGAATACTTTTCGAAATTTACTTACTTTACTATTTCTCCCTGAGTTTTCAAAAGATCCACACACGTCAGAGTGAACTAGCTCTCCTTATCTTCTCTGCACCGATTATACTGTATTTACATATATATCGTAACAAGGATACCAAACTACCATATTCTAATTTGGATCTAACCAATAAACATTGAATTGAAGGAATACTTGAGAAGAATTTACAGTTTCTTATAATAAAACCAAGCATGCGATTAGCTGAGGTGCATATATTAACTATAGTAAATTTAAAAGCAAACGACGTACACGTCATCGATGACGTCATAATTTTGCGCACTGGTACCAATACTAAATGTATAAAACGAAGTCTGTAATTAAATATTTTAATGCATTTTAAGCAAATTAAGTTGGCAGGAATTGCAATGTTGTCATGTTTAGATTAAAATTTCGCTTAATAAAATGACGCATAGAAAAAGAAATTGACGTTTTAGAATTTCGAAGCTGTCAGTTGTGTTTTTAAATATTTCGTTTAATTGGTGTATAATTTCGTTTATTTTGTTTGTTGTTTTTGTTATTTTATATCGTTTAAGTTTTCATTGCCGTTTTTGTGTTTGTTATATATCGTTTTTCCTATATTTAAAATGCCGAAGCATTTAAATAGTCTGAGTCAAGAGTTGGTATCATCCTTAATACGCTATTTTGAGGCAGAACGGGATAATAATGGACCTTTATTACCTTTAACAGCTGTTAGAGAGGTAAATAGGATTATTATTAATTATATATTAGAATATTTAACAGAATATATGTTGGATACATAAAATAAGAATATATATACCAGAGACTGACTGTAGATGGCAAAATTTCTGGGTTTTATAACTGAAAATGTCTTTAAAAATGGCTGAAACATACTTTTGGCGGTGCATCATATAGGTTATAAAAACTCTGACTTGACATTTTGGTATTATTTATGTAAACGCTATCTATCGCCCTGTAGTTGCACTACCACTTTCACCTGATGCAATGATTTTAGCATCACATTGACAACCGTGCCCGATCAGCTGATTGATGACGTGTACGTCGTTTCCTTTTAAATTTACTATATATGTTCATTAAATGATAACTTTGAGTCAAAGGTTATACCCAGATCCTTAATAGAATTAATTCGTAATAATAGAGCATCGCCTAATTTATAGTCATAAACTATTTTTTGTAAATTTAGTGTTTATATATATATAACTTATTTTTTGCACACCACTCATTAACAGAATTAAGTTATCTTTGTAGATTTTCACACTCCTGTACATTTCGTATTTGTGCATACATTTTAAGGTCGTCCGCAAAAAATAGATTCTTACAATTAAGATTACATGGCAGATCATTTATAAATATATTAAATAGTACCCAAATTGTATCCCTGGGGTACACCCAAGGATGCAACAAATGAAGAAAACATAAATCTGTTATAACATACAATTTGTTTCCTATTGTTAAAATATGATTTAAAAAGTTTTAATAGAGGTTCGCTAAAACCATAAAGTTCTAGCTTACTTAACAGTATTCCATGGTCTACCCTATCAAAGGGACATATCAAAACTATTAGATATAAACTGATTAATAATAGTTAAGTTTGTTACTGTAGACCTACCAGACATAAAACCATGTTGTTTATGTGAAATAAGAGATCTGATTTGCGAATTAACTTGAGTATATACGGAAATCTCAAAGGCCTTTGCAAAATTGTTTAAAATATTGGTCTATAATTACTTACATTACTAGGATCACCTGACTTAAGTATTGGACATATTTTAGACTTTCCAAACCTCTGTAAATTACCCACATGAAAGAATATTACCAAAAATGGTGTTAAGTGGTTG